GGGGTTGTTTTAAAAAATTGAATAAGGAGTGAGGAATTTTATGTTTCCGCATCACAAGTGACGGGAAGTATATTGTCTGATAAGCCAGAGGGATTCCAGACACAGAGTAGGGCAAGGGTGAGCTGCTAAACTAAAGATGGGGATTAAATGAAAGTTGTCACACTGAACGTTAGGATGGTGAGCCTTTGTCCCCTGCTTGGCTCTAGACTTCGAGCTTCTATGCTTGATACCCCGGGCGCCATTGAGGGATCCTTCCTGGGAAAATTAAATCACTCCAGAAAGATGACCGAAAAGGCCCTGATATTTGAAGATCTCTACAAAAATGCCAGCTGGCCTCTACCAGTTGAAAAGCCCAACTTGAACACACAGAGTTTATAATTAGAGCTTGTAATTTTTCTTGTTAACCTGTTGGACACATAATGGACACACCTAGGAATTGTTAGGCATCTTAGAGCTTCCAGTGTAAAAGAGAGAGACACAACAGAAAAAAGGAAACTAAAAGGAAATAGACACTAGGGAACAAAAACGCTTTGAGGAAATGAAAATTCGCAACCTCAGACAGGTGTAATCTAATTAAAAGAAGAAAACTGGTGTGCAAGAAAAAAGGGGAGGTGGGTGACAGTGTTTCTGGGATGAAATTTCAAAAGCAGAAATTTCAAATTCAGTGAAGCATTGGAAGAAATGGTTGAGGTACTGTCCAGGTGAGAGGGGAAGAAAGGAGAATTAGAGGTTCATATGAGGTCCAGTATCTAATCTTGTAGGAGCTCCAGAAAGAGAAGACAGAAGTGGAGAATCTTATTAGTATGTTAAGGAAACAAAACATGTAAATTTCCCAGACCTAAACTAAAGACTGTTTGTTAGTAGCTTGTTTGGTGCAAACAATGATAAGTCCACATACTTGTTAAAAAAGTACACTGTTCTCAAATTTTATAACTCCCTGGAAATCAAAGGAAGGACACTCCTAAGAACTTCCTGATGGGGAAACACAGATCAAAAATAGTCTTTGAATAAGAATGTCATTGAACTTGACAACCACACATTAGAGTCTAAAAAACATTGGCAGAAAGCATTTAAAATGCTGAAAGAAATAAATCCATTTGAGCTCTTGTTAAGGAATTTGTCAGTATAACAGTCTAATGGTAAACTCTGAACCCATCTCCCACATTCACAAGTTATCAATATCTCTCAGGTTATCATACTTATGTATGCTTTGAGTATTTTGGAGCATATTTCATATACTGTATCATTTCAACCTCAAATAGTTTTATCAGCAACAAGTAGACATTTTAAAGAAACAAAGCTGTAATACTATTATATCTAACAAAATTAGTAATTTATTAATATCAGTCTCCGTTTTAATGCAGAGCTGTCTTTAGGAATTTGTTCAAACCAGGATCTATTGCATTTGGTGGATATGTGTTAAGTTTGTACTTTTTACCTGCCTACTGGTGTATGCACTTATTAATTTTGTTCCCTGCATCTGTTATTTTGATAGGGATCACAAAATTGTGATTAAAAAAAATTTTTTTTAATGTTTATATTTGAGAGAGAGAGTGCACAAGCGTGGGAGTGACAGAGAGAGGGGGAGACACTGAATCTGAAGCAGGCTCCAGCCTCTGAGCTGTCAGCACAGAGCCCGGTGTGGGGCTAGAATCATGAACCATGAGATCATGACCTGAGCTGAAGTCGGACGCTTAACCAACTGAGACACCCAGACACCCCCAAAATTGTGATTTTAAAAAAACTCTACCATTTGTGCTGCATTCTGTAGCTGTCATTATATAAAGAAAAACTTTATTTCATTATCTATTTGATGTTTACCCTGAAATATAGTCTACAAGAAGAAAGAATAGATGGTTGATTCTTTCCCTTTTCTTATAGTAACCAGTTGTGTCCTAAGAACTTCCAGACACAACCAACTAATGAGTGCTTTTACTATTGTTGTAAATGCAGGGGTTTTTACATTTTTGAGTTTTAACCAATTGCAGTCATTCTTTTTGATCAGATTGTCACATCGTTAGCCTGTCAGAGAGCCCATAAAAATGGTGTTATTTAAATGGCATCCTTGCTTGTCAGATCCAAGGCTCATCTTAGCAATTCTTTGCCCCTGTCTTGGAGTAAGTCAACTCTCCAAAGACCTTTGACTTCTTTCTGTGCAAAATAATATTTTGAAGACTGGCTTGATGCTGATTGTTATTGGTTATACTTGCTTTTAGGACTTTTTAGTGCACAGAGATAAAAAGTAAATTTTAGAAAGAAGAAAAGATACTGTGAGTTAATACTGATATTGTTAATTCAAATTAAAGATTAAGATAGAAGTTAAAAGTTTTTAAAAGCTTTAAAATTTTTTAAAGTTTTAAAAGTTACAGTTTCACTCTTCTAGTTTTATATTTGTATATTTTCTCTTATTGATAATCTTGGTTCCTAATAATGTAAACATAATCACTTACTTGATTTATCCTTTTGTATACAGAGTGACTCCAAAATAATAACCACTATTATTATAACAGTATTATTACTGAATACAATTTGATTTTTGTCCGTAGGAAGTTTCCCATTAAGGATGCACAAACTACTGTGTTTCAAAGTTACTTGAAATAATTCTTATTTGTGCTGCTAGCTTGATGTACAGTTAGGTTCGTTTCTTTTCTGTTTTTAGAGATTGGTTATTGTTGATTTTAATTATAATTTGGTTTATTACATGAAATATCTTCATGTCCCAAAGCTTAAAAAAATGTGGCATTCTTTCCCCTGTATTCTGTCTTCCCCCGTAGAGAACCATTTTCATGTTAGTTTTGGCTCTTCTTTCATTTTTAAATTCAGCACATGTGTATGAACATTTGTTATTTCCTTCCCTGTCGTATGAATGTAGCAGATTATATACATTGTTGTGCACCTTGATTTTTCTCACTTAACAACAGACCCCAGAGATCGTTCCAAGGAGTCTAGAGAGTTCTTCCACCTTTCCTTTTTTGGGGGGGTAGGGGGCTGCATAATACTTTATTCTTGTGATACATATTTTGATTGTAACAGTCTTTTGATGTAATAAATTGCTTTGCATGTGCGTCATCTTATGTTGCGATATGCAGCCTAAAAATTTCTACCCAAATACCCATTCAAGTGTCAAAGACATATTGGACTTGAGAATTGCTCAGTTCCTCCACATAACACCTTTCCAGGAACCCACAAGAATATGTAACCCCAGTAAGAGGAATAAAAAAAAATAAAGGCTCATAGGAAAGAAGCAAAGAAGTCATCAGGATGATGACAAAGGAAATTATCAGGATGATACTTTGCAATAGACTTAGTCACTAGGGCATTGGGCACCAGGAGAGATGTGGGGCGGGGGGAGGAAATAATAGGTTATTGTGACAAGTTTGACCACATAGAAGACTATATTGAGAGTTGTTTTTGTCAAAGCTGTTAAGGAGTCTGAGAAAACTTAGGTATAAGTTTAAAGAAAACCAAATAAATGAAAGTATGCAGTAAAGTTCACTTCAGGAAAATTAACAAGCTATTTAAGTTAATACTTACATAGAACTGAATACTTCTTGACCCAGAAGTAAAAATTATTTAATCATTGTAATGAAAACATTTTTGTGTGCTTAGGAGGATGGGGAAAAATGGAGAATAAGAATGGGAAGTTAGTAGATAATGTCTAAATAATGATGCTGAAGCAGCGTGAATGTATTGTGGGAAAACATCCAGGTAATTAGAAGAAGGTAATAGCTAAAAACTGAAGCTGGTTGTGTCCTCACAAAAAAACAAAAACAAAAAAACCCTGTTTTTTCCCCTTTGTCATAAGCTTTCTAGCACTATTGGTTTAAATGGTGTGTATGTAGTACTTTGAAAAATAACTTTAAAACTAGATATATGTGGAGAATGTCTCAGGAGATGCATTATAGTGTGTGTGTGTGTGTGTGTGTGTGTGTGTGTGTGTGTGTGTGTGATTAGCAGTCCAGATAGGAGTTCTGTAAACTAATAACTCATGGTGTCTTTCTTAGTAGCTGTCACAGCAAGCATGTTAATTAAATCTGAACCTGTGTGGTGTAACATTAACCAGTTTAGCCATTCAGACGTACACAAGGAGTCAGATATTCCAGGTCATGGCAGTCACAGACCAGGATAAAGTACCGCCAAGCTTCTATATGGAAAATAACTTAAAACCAGAAAGCAGAAAAAGTATCAATTTTCACCAAGCCAGGAACCTTAAAAGCTGTTGAGTGTTAGACTGTTTACACATAATTTTAATAGTGTAGGTGACTGAAGGGGGAGAAATGGCAGGCTCATTGTTGCCAAGGGTAAGTGATAGCTGGTAGCAAGAGAAGAGACAGCTATTAAATCCCAGCACAGGAATTGAGAAAGAATGGTCCCATGCATGCAGAGATAAAGATCCCAGAACTATCGTGTGGTCCTTTTGTGGGGTCGTGTGTGGCGGCTCAATTATGTTGCCATTGATCTAGTCACCCCTCGTGTAGCAGGGAGCTACCAGGTGTAGCCATTTTGCCATTTTGCCATTTATTACCAAGTTTTATGTGAAACATTTCCTGTCGCATCCCTGAATTGACCTTAATTCTGATACATAACCCAAAGGATAGAGGAACGAGGATGTTGTGTGGCATAAGGTAAGATGAGGTGAGGATTTGGATCCCTTTGGACATGCAGTAGGTAGAAACGTTGTGTATCTCCCAAAGTCGCCCACCTCGGAAAGGGCCATCAGTCATTTAAAAATGTCTATTGGTTCTCTTGAGAATTTGCTTTGTTTTTTTCCTTAAGATTCTTTGCTCTTCTCCCCAACACTAGTTACATTGGTTAAACCCCTTTGTCTAACTGCTTACTCTGCTACAATGGAATTGAAGTCCATTTTTCATTTGAGAACTTTAGGGATTAATGCCTGATTTGTAAGTTTGATTGTGTTTACTCTGATTGGGTATAGATGAGTCACAGAGTGGAGAATTCATATCTTTCTCTTTAATCCTGTATATTTGTATTTTTTTTAGAGGAAGTCCACAAATGAAGGGGACACCCCATTTTAAGGAAGAACAGTGTGCTCCAGCATTAAATTTAGAAATGAAGAAAATATTGGATTTGCAAGCACCCATCATGAGGTATAGTACCTTGGTTAAATTTAGCATTTTGGGATGACAGTATACAATGTAGTTCATTAATCACATGATCAGTAAGAAAGTTTATTTCATTTTTTTCACTGAGAATAATTTTTTTTTAGCTCTAAATGCTTGATTAACCCCTAGACGGTACATTATTATGCTTCAGTTATTTGTTAAATATATAAAGCCCATAAATTGAGTATACCAACTATAATTTTTTTCAGAAATTTATCTTTTTTGGTAAGATCTAGAATTGTTTGAATGATACAGCATAGTTACTTGATACTGATAAAAATCATAGAAGTTGAGGAAAAGAGAAAGTGGCTTTGTTTCTAATACCTTCTCTTAAGTTTTTGGAAAATATTTATGTACTTGGAAGAAAGTTAAGCTTTCTGATCTAAGTATGAATAAAGGTTTTGTGTTAAGGCCAGAATTACCAAAATATAAAAAATTATTTTATATCCATTGGCAGAAAATATAAGTGTATGTGTAATTAATTCATATTTGACATTCTAGTTGTCTGATGTGTGGGTCTTGTTAAAAGTACATTTTTTAACATAAAGTTTTGACTATAATGGTATTTTTTGTTTCTTTTTTAACAAAGAGTTCTTTTTAACTGAATTCAGAGTTAAAACTGGCCTTCAAGAACCTTTTGCTGTTATTGTGCCCAGACGTATGCAATTATGAAATTATAACGGTGATATTCCAGCCTTCTCTGCATCAAAATGGCCAGTAGTCCTTATCTCTAATAAGATTTGCTTTAAAAAATGATAAGAAATATTAGCGAAAGAAGTATTGTAATTCAGAATTCATTTTGTTAGGAGTCATTAAAATCTTCTTGTCAAAATGTCTGCAAATAATTTCTTATGAAAAGAAATATTGATAAATTAGATTATATAAAAGTTAAAAAAAAACTGGGGGAAAAAACCCACCATAAGTATGATCAGAGGAAAACATAAACAATGAAAATAAGGAAATATACTTCCAGTGAATACCACAAAGTCCAATTTTTACAGTATGTGAAGACTTCTTATAACAAGAAAAAGACAGTAGAACAAATGAACACAGAATATAAACAATTTCTTTTCGTTGTCTACATTTCAGTTAATATATTACATAATCTCCTTTAAGAGAGTAAATAAGTGACTTACGCATATGAACAGTTAGGTAAAATACTGTTTGGGGGGGAGATCAGGGATATGAACTTTATACATTGGTGGTGAGAGTGTAAATTTATACAGTATTTATGGAAATTAATTAAGCAGTGTCTGTCAAAGTTACATAAGCTCATGGTCTTTGTGCAGCATGTCTGTTGTTAGGAATTACTCATACAAATATAGTAATTCAGATGACATGCTTACAGGGTTTTTTATTGTTTATAATAGCAAAAGATCAAAAACCACCTAAATGTCAATCAGTAGGGAGCTGGTTAAAAAGCTTTTCTTACCTTCTGCACAGTGGGAACAGTATGCATCTGTAGAAACATTGAGGGCACTCTTTACTGAAGAAACTTCCCAAATGTGTTGTTGGGTGAAAAAAGCAAGGTGTAATCTATAATAATGCTAATATTTGTTTTTAACGTTTTTTTATTATTGAGAGACAGCGTGAGTGGAGGAGGGGCAGGGAGAGAGGGAGACACAGAATCCCAAGTAGGTTCCAGGCTCCCAGCTGTCAGCACAGAGCCCAAAGCGGGGCTCGAACTCACAAACCACGAGATCATGACCTGAGCCAAACAAAGTCTGATGCTTAACCGACTGAGCCACCCAGGCACCTCAATATTTGTTTTTAAAAGGGAGCTGGTAGTGTTAAAATATGTATTGTTCTTGAAAAATGTATAAGAAACAGTGTGAGAACTGACCGACTAGGCCACAGGTTTGGGGAAAAGACTTTTTACTGTGTAGTCTCATTAAATATTGAATTATATGGATGGTGATATACGAATATATTGAACTATATAAATGTAATACCAATGTTTTTCAATTCTTCTGAGTCACACTTCTAATAAAAGGCTATTTTCACCATTAGTTTTGTTAGAATACAGTACAGATACTGGTATACATTAAAAAAATAAAATTGTATGCAAGTGGCTGGCTATTGTCTTGCCGTGTTTAGTCCATCTTTTTATGTATTTTCTTCAGAGAAAAAGAATGTTTTATTTTTGTTATTTGCATCAGTGTGATCTGGGTTACAAAGGATTGAGTTTAAGTTATGATCACCTTGGTCAGAAAGGTACTCTTGACCTCAGATGTTATTTCAGTACAGAGATTCTTTTTAAGAATGTAACTTGCGACGTAAGGAATTTGGAATGTCTCTGGGTACAAGCTAGATGGACCTGTACAGATATGGCTCTCTACCTATATCCAGCAGCAGACCGTATGGATCATGGGGATGGGATAGAAAAAGAGGCTTTAAAAAAGAAATCCTGTCATCTTGTACAAGTTTAACTTGTCAGGTGCTAAGTGGTTTTGTTTGTTTTAGTCAGGTGCTAGTTTTCAATACACACTACAAATTTAGGGGATAGGAAATCTCTAAGGTTTATCTTGAAACTTCAGAAAAATAATTGCTTTTCAGAGCAGTATTATTATTAGCACCTGTAATGCATACTTGTTGGAAATGTGATTGGATATCCTATGTGATTTTGCATTGAGGGAGAAGACACAGTATTTGGACTTTGTAACCAACTATCTTCCTGCTCACCACCAAAAATAGAAATCCTGTGAAATTAGAGATAATAGTTAAAACTTCTGCTTGTAGGCATAATATGGCAAATATGCCATCTTTTAATTTTTGCTTGAAGAAAGAATAGGATTAATGGTAAACGTCCAATGTGTGTTATTGAGGATAGAGAATGTTTAGAAGGTGAAAAGTACTGATACGATCTGTAATTAAACCCTTAGTCTGTTTCTAACTAACAGCCGGTAATAAATATTAGTAAATACCACAGTTTATTCCTTATCTTCCTCTATTCCAGGTACTTAGGAAGGCCGTATTTAGTATATAGTATTTAATATTTGTTAGGTATTAAATATATTTACATATTTGAGAATTGGTGATTATGAATGATATATGTCCCATTAAGAATATTTGATTAATCAGAAATGCTAATCTATGTTTTAAATGTTTTTTTAATTTAATTTTATTTATTTTGAGAGAGAGAGTGCACACCTGAGCGGGGGAAGGGTGGAGAGGGAGAGAGAGAATCCCAAGCAGGCTCCATGCTCAGTACAGAGCCCGACGCGAGGCTCTGTCCCACAACCCTGGGATCGTGACCTGAGCCAAAAATCAAGAGTCAGACACTTAACCGACTGAACCACCTAGGTGCCCCATCTGCTTTCAAGATGATACTATTCTTCTAAGGTCCTAAATTAAGGGGCGGGGTGGGGAGGGGATGGAGAGGCACCTCGGGCATATCAGTTAGCTGTTAAAAAGCCCATGAAGTCAATGATTGGAGAGGCTCTCTGAGGACATAACTTAGAGTATATTTATGTATATTTTGTGTGTATTTATACCCAGGAGTGATTTTTCAAAATACTTAAAAACCAGTGCAGCATGAAAAGACCTGTCACAGTGATTATCAGTAAAGAATCCTGATATTCCCTTATTCCAAGAATTAATCTTTAATTGTTAGATCTTTGTAACACTAGCAGTCAGTGGGCACATAGTTGTGTGGTGTGGAGCAAGGCCTGTTTACTAACTTTAGGGAAGTACTCCGTATTTTAACAACTGACCTCAGCCTTTGTTTTAATGAGTTTATTTACTTCAGTTGAATGAGGAGGATCTATCTTTTCCTGTGGAGTCTTTGTCATATTTACCATAGTTATTGTAAAGTCATTATCTTTTAATTCTAACATCAGGATTGACCAAGTCTATTTATATTGATTGATTTTTCTCTTGACTCTGGGTCACGTTTTCCTGTCCCCACACATCTGGTCATTTTTGTCCTAGCACTGGGGATGACAAAGTAGAGATTCTGAATTCTGTTAACTTTGTCAGAAGAGTGCTGAGTTTTGCCTAGTAGGTGGTTAAATTCCTGCAGGGTGACCTTGATCTTGCTCCTAACTGTCATATGCAGTGATTCTTCTAGGGAAATAGGAACAGGGGAGAGGGAGAATATAGTTGGAAAAAACCTAGGATGACTCCTGCTGAATGAAAATCACTGGTAAGCCAGTGACTACTCCACTAAATTGCTTCTGTTGACATGTAGTGGCAGATGTAAAACCTAAAGTTTTTATTCTCTACTTATTCCATGCTACATGCAAATGTTGCACTAAAATACAAATTTGAAAGGGAAGAATATATAGTATTTCAAAAAGTGAACTTTCTGTAAACTCAGTTGATTACGAATGTTCTTCTCTTTTTAATATTTTTGTAGTTGGGAAGAAAACAGTTCTTCATTGTCTGAAATTCTTGGTGAATGAGTCCTTGAGCTCAGCTTTTAAAGGATTGAAGGTTTATTTAAGAATTAAAACATTAAAAACATCTCTCCCACCATTATGGATTAAAATATTTCTGAAATATACTCTTCTTAAGTATGAAAAGAATTCTAATAGTATTAACATAATAGGGAGTATATATTATGGACACCACATTTTTAACTTTTTCATTTCTTTCTTACATTTGCGTTTTTTGTAGCATTTGGTACTCTTAAGTACTTTTTCCATCCATCTATTCCCTTGGCTTTTTTATATCAATTTCCTCTGGTTCCCCTGGTTCTCTTTCTTCCTCTATGCCAGTGCCTTTGCATTGTTATTCTTGGATTCCCTTTTCCTCTCTCCTTTTTCTCCCCTTTTTCCTCCTCCCACAAACATTGCGTGCCATACATAACTAGCACTGCCTTAGGGGCTGGGCACATAAGAGTGAGCAAAGTGGGCATTTATTTTCCATTAGGTAAGTAAATGTTAAATCTCTTTGTAAATAGTGTGGAGATCATACTCCATAATTCTCACTTAAGTCAACTGAGAGGTCTTTTGAAAGGAGAAACTATTGTTTTCACCCCAGAATCGCCAGCACAGAACATGGGCACCTGTCGTGGAGCATGGGCTTTATAAATACTTGTATGAATGAGGCTCAACAATACCCAGAACTGTGAGCTCCAGTAAAGTAGCCTCTAGTCAAATGAAGTTCCTTGAATTTCAGTTAGTTCAAAGGGAGCAAAGTTAAGAAATACGTTCTTCTGTCACAGTAGCCATATTTGAGGTATGCAGTCACTACATGTAGCTGCTGCTTACCATGTTTGATAACACATTTCCATCACTGGGGAAGGTTCTGGTGGCCAGGGCTAGAGGATTACTACCTCTGTACTTTATGGCTCCAGACTGTCAGCCTGTCATAAGTTGTTCTTTTTATGGTTTCTTTGCCTTTGTCCTTTCTTGTCATTTATCGTCTTTCATCTTTGAATTTACTGTTTGAGTATTTCTAGTTTTAACCAAGTTGATCAGTTCATGACTGTGGCTGCGCATAGTCTTGTATTTCATCCAGAATTTCGGATTCTAGATTAAATTATACAAAGATGAAGCTACTAGATACCTAAATTGTAGATAAATGACAGTTTTGTAAGTGGTTTCATGATCCACTGTATATGAACATTCTCCAGGGCCATTACATTCATACTCTTTGCTTTCCCAGTGTGCTCTCCTAAAGTTCATTGATTCTAAATTGCTTACTTCCCTATAGTTTGCAGTCCATGCTGGAGGATCTCCTCGTTGCTACTTCTGATGGACTTCTTCATCTTATTCACTGGGAAGGAATGACAAACGGAAGGAAAGCTATTAATCTTTGCACAGTACCCTTTTCAGTAGATCTGCAGTCGTCTAGAGGTAGGTATACTTTCTGCATGAGGTGGAGCCAGGTGTTTATTTTTGATATAATCTGGTTAGATATTTTTATGGATGGGCAGTGATTTTTTTCCTTTGGAATTAATTATGCAAGGGGGGAGAGAGAGAGAGTGAGTGTGTGTGTGTGTGTAGGAAGGAATAGTTTAATGGTTTGGTGTTGTTAGGTCATTATTTTTGCCCTTTTAACTGTCCTTATAGGGTTTGCAAAGAGAAATGTGAGGGAGTTATTTACTGTATTTATATTCGTATTTCATGTACTTATGTTTTCATCAGCAGGTTCATTCCTGGGTTTTGCAGATGTGCACATCAGAGACATGGAATACTGTGCCACACTTGATGGATTTGCTGTTGTGTTTAACGATGGTAAAATTGGATTTATTACTCCAGTGTCAAGTAGATTTACTGCAGAGGTATGACTTACTTTGGAGTGTTTATTTTCTCTATTTTGCATTTACCAGTTTTAGTTTTTGTTATTAAATCCCACTGCCACTTCCCTTATTTAATATTTTAGGGTTATGTTAACTAATTTGTAAATCAAAATGATACATATATTATACTTAAAAATAATATAAGTAGACAAATAATTCTATTAGATGTGTTGAAGAAAAATGATAGTTCCTTCCCTCTTTCTTGCACTCTTCACACTCAATTTCTATTCTCAGAGACAACAACTTTATTTTTCTTTACTGGTTATTTTGCAGTTTATCTCCACAGCTCTGAGTATTTAATTTTTAGTTTTTAGCTGGTTTATTGACTCCTTCTGTAGAAAAAGTTTATTTGCTTCTCTGTTCCTACTGCACTCATATATTCTTCCTGTCTTCCTAATACAGTTATTTGGATTTCAATTAGATTACTATTCATTGTTTATATTGTTACTGCTATATAAAACCTGTTAGTACCTGAGCCATGGATGCTGTGATTATTTTTTCTTTCCTGCAGGTTTCCCTCCCACTGGGAATTAATAATTATTCTTTATGTTTATTTACTTTTTATGTACTTACCAGTAACTCAACCCTAGACTGTCTGCTGGTTGTGTGAATATCCTCTCAATTCCTTCAGGCACATTAGATGTTCTGTTTGTTTCATCTTCTTTGAAGTAATTTCTCTTGGAACCTTCTGGCTTGCTCCAAACTGGGCTCCTGGCTCACTATACCTTTAACACAGTTGTATTTTGGGGCTGTCCATCATCCTGAGGATTTCCTTAATGCCTTTATTTGAAAGAGCTCTTTCCATAGTTTATGGTTAATTAATATATGTTTAGTTAATATATGAATTTGGTTGCAGTGACAGAGACCCAAAATAAAAATTTGGACTCACTGAAAGCTGTGGGTTTTGCTGGGTTTGGTTGACCCTTATCTTCATAGGGTGAGCTGACTGGATTGTTTCCTTCCCTCCCCTCTCTGTATCTGGTGCTCATTGGAAGAGAGTCTGCAGTCCTTTCCAGAGAATACGTACCTGGCCATCCCAGTAGTCTTGGATTTAAGTTATAGACGTGTTAAATTAGAGGGTCCGTATTCACTTACCCATGTTTTCAGTGTGGTCCAGAAACCACGAGGGTTGTTTTTTGTTTCATTTTTCCCCAAAGGAAAAAATCTCCATTTTGCTGTTGGAGTGAAGGTGGGATATTTCTTAGCTGTTGAGTTTGGGAAGGTACTGTGGGACCGCTCAGCCGGTGCTTCTACAGGCTGTGAACCAGTCCCACTGCTTGTGGTTCATTCTTTCTGAGAAATCTCAATCCCCAGGCCCTCTGTGTGCCCTACAGTATAAATTTAGCTGTTTCTCTAAGTTAAGGATTCTACTCATCCATGTGCTTCCTAGCTTCTAAAACTTAATGATTCTACCTCCTCACCCATTCTTTTTCCTTGCAAGTTTGTGCTTTTTGAAAAAAATCTTTGCTGTTATAAAGTTGGGGATTTAAGAGTCAGAGAAGCTAGATATTCAGTCTGCTCTCTTTGACTGAAAAAGATTTTAAGTTTTTAAGGGCATATTATTTTCTACAATGTCAGCTTTAATATTCCTAAAACTGTTTTCCACTATCATCTCTACTCAAATAATGAAGTACTAAACAGTACATTTGTGGGTAACATGTCAATATATAAGAATAAAAATAAGCTTTTGGAGAATAATTTTTTTACAAGGTATATTTGTAAATTATGTTTGGGATTTAAATGTTTTTTATTGAAAACAAAAATCCCAGAACTGAAAAAGTAACTCATTTCTGATGATCAGCTTTTACTAATTTTCTTAGTATTTGGTTAAAGAAAATTTTCCAGTAAATTAAGAATTTAAAAAATAATGAAAAGCAGATGGACATTGTTAAATAAGTTGGAAAATACAAATTACAGGAAAAGAATACATATGTGTATTACTGGTAACTAGGAAATACACTGATGACATGTTTATGTTAGGCATTATTTAAGTGCTTTGTAAAAATTGTTTGACATTTTTTGATGCATTTAACAGATGTCTTAAAATATGTCAGATTATGTCACTCCTCTGCTCAGAACCCTTCAGTAGGTTTAGATAATTAGGACAAAACCTGCCGAAGACAACTAGAAAAGCTGGAGGAAAAATACTTTTAAATGTGCCTGAGACTGTAAAGATTGATCGGTTGACGGAGGCATAGGCCCAGTGAGCTAAGCCTGGTGTTTGAGGCTATGGTGAGTGTGAACAGCAGAGCTGTGTGTGGTGATGTGGATGGGTCTCACAGACGCGCTGAGTGAAAGCAGCTAGGCACAAAGGAATGTGTGCTATGATTTCATTTCATGTAAAATTAAAGGAAAATAAAAACATAGGCCATTCTAAATTAGAGTTTGTATGGATGCATGTTCTTAAATAGTATTGGTCTAAAGAAAAAGAAGGAAGGGATTACCATTTAAGTCTGGATACCGGTTGGGGCGCCTGGGTGGCGCAGTCGGTTAAGCGTCCGACTTCAGCCAGGTCATGATCTTGCGGTTCGTGAGTTCGAGCCCCGCGTCGGGCTCTGGGCTGATGGCTCAGAGCCTGGAGCCTGTTTCCGATTCTGTGTCTCCCTCTCTCTCTGCCCCTCCCCCGTTCATGCTGTGTCTCTCTCTGTCCCAAAAATAAATAAAAACGTTGAAAAAAAAATTAAAAAAAAAAAAAATCTGGATACCGGTTACTTTTGTAGTAGTGTGTGAGGGGATATTGATTGGGAGGGTCACTGCTGGATTTTTGGATACTGGCAATTCTTGGCCTGACTGCTAGCTAACTCCACAAGTGTTTACTTTATGATATTATGGAGATGCACAAGTCTGGTTTTGTGTATTCTTCTCTAATATAATTGAGTAATTATAATGGAAAAGTTAAAAAAAAATTAAAGACCCCCCTAGTGACTCCCCATATATAAGGGAGAAAAAACCCAAAAAGTTTTTGTAGTGGCTTTCAAAGCCCTATAAATCTGGTCTCCTTTTACACCTGTTACCTCGTCTGTTACTTCTCCTTACCCCATTCTACTCCATCTGCTTAGGCTTGTTTCATGTTCTTTGAACATGCCAGAAATGCCACTATGATAGAGCCTTTGTACCTGGTATATATCTCCTTCAGTACTTTCCTCAAAATGTACCTTCATGGGAAAAACTGTTTAATATTCTATCCTTTTCCTATACTCCCTGTAATTGCTTCACTGTTTTTTTCTATAGCATTTACCAACCTCCAATATACTATACAATTTTTTTAACTTGACAGCTTCCTGACATATAAGGCAGGGATACAGACAAGGGTTTTGGTGTATTTGAATACCTGTCATATCCTTAGCACCTAGAGCAGTGCTTGGTGAAGAGTGCTGGAAAATATTTGTTAGAGAAATCAGTGAATTAATTTCAGTCTGAGTGGTGGTCCGCAGAAATAATGCTCAGTGCTATCTTTACACTTCTTTTTTGTCATCTAAAATAGTTTGTAGTTTTATTATTAAAATTGAAAAATAAAATTCCTATGAAAAAGAAAGCACATAATGCCGTGTTTAAATAGTGGATTATATAGCTCATTTGGGAATTAAATAAAATTTCTAGTGTTCTGTTTTACACAGAGCTATAATTATATTGGGTTTTCTAATGTTTACTGTTGGGATCATCCAGAAATGAGTGCTATATTGTAGTGTGCTGGGTTTTTTTGTGCTTACTAAACTAATAGTCACGATGACCTTAGCCTTAGAATTTATAATCTAAGACATCCTTGATTTGACAAATAAAAACAGACAATGGAGCTGGATCTATTGTTTCTATATTCAAAGTAAATAAAATAGCATTTAAGCTTAATAATTTATTCATTAATTGAATGCTTAACTTGTTGAATGCTAGCCATTGTATTAAGTAATTTACGTAGATGTATGTTCTCATTTAATCCTCAAAACACTCTAGGAGATAAGTAACTTACAGATGAGAAAACTGAGGCTTGGAAAGGTCAGATAATCGTCTCAGCAAGTGAACAGTAGACCTGAGATGTTGGGTCAGACTGCCAGGTACCACGCTGTTAGCCATACCAGGTGATGTGCCATACGGTAAAGCAAAGGGATAATAGAGAATAGTGGGCACTGGAGAATCACTAATTCCTTCTGAAGCTTAGACCAAATAAATTTACTCTTTGCCCCCAAGGGAGAAGTTAAACACTGTGTGCTGCGTGGTGAGGATGATAGTAGGGGGCAAGTTAGACTCAGTTTCTGCTGTAAGAGGTTTACTTTCTAACAGGAAAGTCATCTTCTTTTAGTTTGGGTTTGCAGATTGTCCATTTTTTAGTGTTTTATGAGTAGATAAGCTAGCACTGGGCTGAGATCAAATGGGAATATTTATTGAACTATTGAATGAAGTTGATACTTTAAGGGAGAAGATTCAGATGGTAGTCCTGATGGGATATTTTCCTGTGAAACCAGATCAAGCCAAGCCTTATGGAACTGTATGTTTCCTGAAGGAGAATTATACTGATTACAGTATATTTGGACAGCACTTTTAAAACCTTCATTATTTTTCTTTATTACAGCAGCTCCATGGAGTTTGGCCACAAGATGTTGTTGACGGAACTTGTGTAGCAGTAAATAACAAGTACCGACTCATGGCGTTTGGTTGTGCAAGGTAATTGATAGAGTCCTCTTCATTTTAAGAGTTGTTGGCAAAAATAATGGGTCTTTAAATTTTTTTTTAATATGTATTTTGAAGCATAAAATGTTCTGCATGCACTTGTAAACCTCGTCATGCCTATCATAGTTTAGGAATCAGCTGTAATATAAAATCTGGAGGTATTTTATTAGATTGAAGTAAACAAATCTAAAGAGCAGATTTCAGATATTGAATGTTTTAATTTGTAAAGATGAGCTTTTCTCCAGTGGTAGGAAATTGAGTCATAAGTTAAAAAGATTAAATCAGCCAAAATTTAATTTTGTTCTTGATTGTTTAAAAGAGGATCAAGAAGATATTTTTCTTTTTTTGAAATAATCCTTTCTTTTTAAGACATCACTGTTGATGTTGCCTTTGAATTTGTGGATGTGACTTAGTTAATGAGCACATTTACAGCTCATACCTGATATCTGTTTCTTGTTTTAATTCCAGTAATGTAGGTTTTAGACGTAAAATTAAATACAGATTATTCATTCAACAAGTGTCTGTGTGTCTCCCATGCACGAGGCACAATTCTAAGCACTCGAGATATGTTGGAAAACACTAAGGTACCTGACTTTCTCAAACTTATATTTTAGCTCAAGTAAAAAGCTTATATTAGATACTTAATAAGTAATACTTTACAATATGTGTAGTGCTTTTTTAGCCTTTTTTTTTTAACTTCAAATTGAAGTTTAGTGGGTCTGTAGAACATACATCTAGTATTGTCTCTAGCTACATCGAGTATCACAGTATTTTTCTTAAGTGTAAATAATACACATTATAAATCATCACCTTTACACTCTCAATCTGTAAAGTGGTGAGTTCTCAACACTGCTTCTCATTGAAGAGATAAATGTAGAATAAAAGAAATTTAGCTTAGTTTAAGAAGGAAGAGTACTCTTTTTTTTTTTTTTCTCCATATTCATGGATTTGGTCACATTTTGTTTAGAATTTTTAAATCTGTTTATTAGTACATTTTGCCTGTAATTTTTCCTTTCCTTTCCTGATTAACCAAGGTTATGCTTATGTTATAAAACAAGTTGAGGACTTGTTCCCCTCTTTCTCTGTTTATCTTTGAATGTTTGGTTGAATTTGTCAATGAAGCTATTTGAGCCTACAATTTTTTTTGTGGGAATTTTTTGGATTACTGATTTAATCCAGTTTTAAAAGTAGATTTAAGAAGGTTTAGATTTTCTATGTATTCCTGTCACTTTGGCAAGTTCTGTTTTTCTGGGAATTGGTTTCGTTCATATCCCTGTCAAACTTACTGGCTTAAGGTTCATAATAACCTTTTTTACATATTGTAAAATAAAAACACACTTGTAGGAGAGTGCATAATCCAAACATTCAGTTTTGCAAATATAATTGTAATGCAAACACCCATCTGTTCACAACTGGGTCAAGAAATAGTTTTGCAAGGTGGGAAGTCCCACCCTGTGACTTCCTAAATCATAACTCCCATCTCCTCCCCAACACACTTAAAGGTAGCCAGTTTTTTGTCTTTCGTGATGATCATTTCCTTAGGCTTTATAGCTTCCCACCCATGCATGCGTTCCCAAAGAGCGTAATTTAGTTTTACCTGGTTTTGAACTTTATAGGAATAGAATCATATTCTATGTGTTGGGTCTTGCTTCTTTCAGTCAGCTTTGTGAAATTCATCCATGCTGTTTGCCAGTGGCTGAAATCATTTTTGATTGATTTATAGTGTTCTAGTGTATGAATGTATCCTAATTTATCTGATTTGCTGTTAATGGACATTTACATTGTTTCTTGGTTTCCAAAAAAGAGAGGACATTTTCTTATATAAACTCAATTATTTTTGTCATGAGAAAATCAGTGAGAATTTATAATTTAAAATTAATGATAAGTCCCAGATAAGAACTAATACTCAGTTCATCTTCAAATTAACCCATTTGTCACCAGAATTTCTTCTGTGGCTCCTTATTTTCACCAGAGTCAATCAGTATTTAGTTATTAATTTCCCTTTAGTCGCCTTTTGCCTGTAACAACCCACACACTGTTTTTATGTTCATGACGTTAACTTTTTTACGAGTCCAGGCTGGTTGTTTATAGAATGTCCTATATTCTAAATGTGTCTCATTGTTTTCTCATAATGGTATTCATTTAGTTCCTTTAAACCTATAATGCCTGAAACTTTGAAGCCAGTGCTGTCAGATGATAAGAGGGCTGGCGCATCAGCACGGACGGGGTGGTGGCTAGCGTGCCTCCATATTGGCCACAGTCAGGGCTAGCGCTGGTGGCTCTGCCGCGGCCCGGTGTTAGGATCCACAAGAGGATCCCCTCACCAGGGTCGTGGAGGTGGAATCTCAGCCTTCAGCCTTCCAGTCATCTTACTTTTCCATCAGTTGGGAGAGTACCAGCCCCTCTCTCTCTCTCTCTCTCTCTCTCTCTCTCTCTCTCTCT